ATGTTTCATGTATAATAATAATAAATATGTAATAATTATAGCTAGTGTTAATTGAATGCATATGATAGGCACTGTGTTTTGTTTTTTTTAAGACTCTATCACATCTTTTAATCCTCCCAACAATCAGATTAGGTAGGTACTGTTACTAGTTCTAAATTGGCCTAGGGAGGTGAAATAACAGGCCCAAAGTCACAGAGAACCGGGCAGAGCTGGTGTTCAAACGTAGCCTGTTCCCGAGCCTGTACTGTCAGGCATTTGCTTCCTTCTAAATGAAATTATTATCTTTAAGCCTTTTTCTCATTATTTTTCTTTTTCACTTGTTAATCGGTCTCTGACACATTCTCACTGATCCAGTAGCTCATGATTTGAGAAGTTCTCCGATACTCAACAGTACTTTTTTCAACTCCATTTAACCGTTTTTTTATGCTTTAAAAAATATTTCTAATTTTACTTTAAATTGATTTATATTTTATTTACAACATCACATGAAGGTCAAAACAAGTAACTACAAAAATATCTGTTGATGTACAAGAAGGAATGGCTGGGAGAATAAGATGCTAGCATTAAGGGTGGGTGGAATGGGTGGGTAGAGAATGAATGGGGGAGGCAGTTGCTTGTTATCTTGTAAATGATCAATTTATTTCTTTAAAAATTTATGTTTAGGTAACTTTTGCTTCTCAGGTTAACTTCCTACACTTTTCTCTCAGGGCTGTTGTGTGAATCTCTGAGATGAAATTTGTAAAATACTTAGCATGGTGCCTGACATATCATTATCCTTTCTAACGTAGTTACTGATAGTCTTGATAAATATTCTTTGAGCATTACCTGTTAATAGGTTTTGTAAAATACATATAAGCCAATGATTATTTTGTGTTCACAGACAAAATTTAAGTCATGGGCTTTATATTGAATTCATCTTAGAATACTTCATTTAGATGCAAAATCCAGAATTTCATAAAGTCAAGAACTGATATTTTTCTGTATAAGTTGAATGTTATATTTTCTTTCCTCATTAACTTAACATATTTTTACCTATTGAAAATTGTCTTTTTTTCTTTTGAGTTAACTAGCAATCAAAGATATTGGAATATTTATTCCTCATAATGTCTAAAACATTGTATCTTGATGTTCTTTTCATAAGACTTTTCCCCCCTTTTGTGAGCAAACTTAAAAATTAAGTTTGGCCCCCAAACCATCCCCTGGCATCTGCCAGCAAAACTGGAACTATTTTGGCTTTTATCTCTGTAAGACACATTTTCAAAAAATGCAGTACAATTAAAGGGGAAAAAAAGTACTTGAATCTGAAATTTTAAAATTACAGGTGGAGAACTCAAGCATCAGAAAGTAAAATGAAGTGGAGAGCATGGCATTTATACAGGGAAAAGCTACTGTGTGAAGAATTCTGACAGTTGTAACTTGCCTCGCAAATACAACTTGCTTAATTATTAAAGGTGATGTGAAAGGAGGCCCAGAGTGGGTTAGCCATGTGGCCTGCAGGCGAGCACAGAGCCTACTGCTCTTTACTGTAACAGAGGAATTGATTTTAGGAAAATCCAAGTGAAGCTATATCTTTCAGCTTGAAGTTTACCAAGTGTATAATTTGCTCCAAATTATTTTTCTCCACAACTCAACTAGAAAGTTTTGACAGGGGTTTCACTCTTCAGAATACGTCTTCACATTCTCCTCAAAAGTGGTTTCTTTTTGATGGACTTTATTATCAGACAAAATCTAACAAATATCACATGTTGAGTTGTGAAAAACATGTGTACTTTCATATAGTAAATACGTGTATGGTAAGCCTCCCACACAGCTTAACTTGTTATAATATACTTCTTAAAAATTTTAAGTCTTCAAAGATTTGCTCACAAAGGAATGCATGTTAGTTTGTTGCTTTATTATTGTCTGTATATTATTTCAGTCTTTTTATAGTCAGTGCATTTTTAAAATATTACTCCTTTTTAAAACCATTTTAATTTTTTTAAAATACCTTATTGATTTTTAGAGAGAGAGAAAGGGAGGAGAGAGAGAGAAACATCAGCGTGAAAACGTAACATTGATCAGATGCCTCCTGCACATCCCCAACCAGGGATCAAGCGAACAACCTGGGCATGTGTCCTGATTGGGAATCTAACCAGCAGCCTTTTGGTGCATGGATGATGCCCAACCAACTGAGCCACACTGGCCAAGTAGAAATGTTCAGTGTTCTTATAACTTTATCAAGTTGAGTGAAAGGTGAAGGATTGGAATTGTGTGTGGTGTGACTCTAAACGTAAGTGAAAATATTGTTAATCTCTTGAGGCCTAGTGTATATTTAGGGTAAAGGGTCATGGTATGTGGTAGCAGGTATACATTCATATTATAAGTGCCTTCTTTATAATTTTTAATTTTGGGGAGATCTACTTGTCATTGCTCTTAGATTAGTCATCATTTTTATTTTATAGTGATAAACAATTCATATTAGAAATGAGAGTCTCAGTTTTGTCATATTCTTGTTAGTATTGTATTTAATTTGAAGTTTCTTTCTTGAACTTCCTAAGCCATTCATCCAATATGTGAGGTTAGTTTCATTAAAAATCGATGATTATCATCCATAAGCCCGTTTAAGTGGGTATGCACAGGGTATAACATGTTGAAAATGAGGGTCAAGGAAGGGTTCCATTGTCAACCCCTTGGGCTTATGGGACCCTCGGTTCTCTCAGGATGACTCGTGAAATGTAACTTGTGACCTAGGAGGATGCCAGTATTAAGTTAAAGGATTTTATAAAAAATAATACAGGACTTTTTATATTTTTCTCCTGGCCAACTTTGTTCTCTGGGGATTGCTATACCAAATGTCACAATTTGGATTTCTGTGTGCCTGCCTTCTTAAGAGAACGCCCCAAAGTACTGTAGCTGGACTGTAGCCCAGGAACCAGAGCCAGGCTTGGCCTAGTGAACAGAACCCTGTCCCACTTCTGTTCTCTGTGGGGCGGAGGCGAGAGGGTGGTGGTGAGTCTCCCTGTCTGCCCCATTCAGAGTTCTCCTGCAGCCACGCTTCACCTTCTCCCAATCTTTAGGTCTCTTTTGTTCAGCTGTGAGCTCCTTGAGGGCTGGGTCTTATAGTAGTGTTCAATGAACCCTTCTCCCCTACTTTTAAAAAAAATTTGTTTTTATTGATTTCAGAGAGGAAAGGCGAGGAAGGGAGAGATAGAAACATCAATGATGAGAAAGAATCATTGATTGGCTATCTCCTGCACACTCCCTGCTGGGGTCAAGCCCGCAACCTGAGCATGTGCCTTGACTGGGAATCCAACCATGACCTCCTGGTTCATAGATTGATGGTCAATCACTGAAGAACACTGGTTGGACTCCCCAATTTTTGAATGATCTATAATTGACACACAACATCTTATTAGTTTCAGGTGTACAATATGATTTGATATTTGTATATATTGCAAAGTGTTCACCACAATAAGGCTAGTTAACATCTGTCACCATAGATAGTGACAGAATTTTTCTTTGTAATGAGAACTTTTACAATCTATTTTCTTAGCAACTTTTAAATATGCAATACAGTATTATTAACTACTAGAGGCCTGGTGCACGAAATTCGTGCATAGGGCGGTGTTGTCCCTTAGCCCAGCCTACGCTCTCTCGCAAGCTGGGACCCCTCGGGTAGGGTCCCGAGGCCTGCTGGCGATCAGGGTCTATCGGGCTTTCCTTCCCCCAGCTGCCACAGCTGCCCCGCCCCGCCACTGCCACTGCTTGCCATCTGTGTGGTGCTGTCCCCCCTCCCCTGCCACCAGTTGCCTCCCTCTGCAGGCGACAGACAGGCGTGGGGTGCAATCGCTTGGCTGGCCTGGGCCTCCCTCTGCAGGGCAATTGCTGGCTGGCTCTGCACATCCGCCACAGCATTGCTGGCTGGTGGCCTGGCTTCCCTCTGTGGGGCAATTGATTGCTGGGCCCCCAGATTGATTGCCCTGCAGAGGGAGGCCCCGCCCACCTGCTGCAGTGCTGCCAGTCAGGTAGCCTGGACCTCCCTCTTTGGGGTGATCAAATGCAGGGCTCTATGATCAATTGCCCAGCAGAGGGAGGTCCCACCCACCGGCCGCAGCACCATTGGCTGGGTAGCCTGGGCCTCCCTCTTTGAGGCGATCAATTGCAGGGCTCCACCATTGATTGCTGTGCAGAGGGTGACCTGGGCCTCCTTTTGCAGGGCGATTGTGGGGCTATGGCAGCCCCACCCCCCAATCGCATCGCACCCGCCTTGGCTGGCCTGGCGTTAGTGTGTGTCATAGCGTGGTCAGCCGGAAGGTCGTCCAGACGGTCATTCTACTGTTTGGTCGTTCAGTTGATTTGCATATTATGCTTTTATTATTATAGATAGTCTCTATGCTGTACATCACATCCCCATAACTTATTTTATAACTGGAAGTTTGTACCTATTTGACTTCCTTCAATTAACCCTGTTTGAATGATGCTGGCTCCTTTTTCCTAAGCTGGAAGATGGTTTCTGGGTGTGGGTGTCAAGGGGCAGGCACACCCAAAGGCAGATGAGATGCATGCAGCTGGGGAAGAGGTGGGTTAGCATGACAGCGGCCTGCATTCCCCCAGACTGAAATGTCTGGCCCTCTCTAAGATCTGCTTTGTTCCACCAAAAGTGGATTCTGATCTCAGAGAAGCCTGTCATCCAAGCGATTAATTAAGGTGAAACTTTCAACCTGCTTATTTTGACCTTTCTTGTCTTTCTGAAATATAATTTCCATTTTGGGAGCAGTCAGTGGGATAATGTCGGGGTGATAGATTTCCTTATGTGTGGACATTAATACAAAATAAGAAAGGGGTTCTGTTTTATACAGGTAGCATCTTATTTCTGTATTTTTATAATTTTGTCTCTGCAATTTTCCTATCTAATGAGTTACTCCTCCTTCGACAATATTGATACCTGAAGGTCAGGACACAATTCTGTTGGTTGGTTATATGAGGACTCCGGTAATAAATGCTCTTCTTATTGTTTGCAGATGCAGAAGCCATGGAGTTGAGCTGCAGCGAAGTACCTCTTTACGTAAGTTCCTAAGCATTGGGCTTCAGGTTGAAGTGGCCCTTTTCTTAGACTTGAAACCCATGTGACTGAAGTGGGGAGAAAGGCTTTGCTCATTATTGAGCTGAGGCTTTTGAAAAACAACACACAGTGCTACTGTCTAGTTTATTTTCATGAAGTCTTTTAAAACTAGTTGGCTCCTGGTTTCCAAGTCTGGGTTTTAATTATATTTCCCCAAGTAACTTTTTAAAAACTGTATTAGCTCTGGACTAAAAATACTCAATTTATCCATATAGATGATTTTTGAATATATTGTTTTATGATAATATCCTGATAATAGCCAAGAACGTGTTCTGTGTGTGTCTTTTTGGGGGAAATGTTCAGTGATAATTGTGTCAGTTAAAAACATGAAGTAGAAATTCAAAGGAAAGTGCTGGGCTATATACATAGATTACGTGGGAGATCGGGTGACAGAGCTGCCCAGTGAGATTCCCGGTCAAGGTGCCTTCTGGGTTGAGGGAGGATTCTGTTGTTGAGAACAGATACTGGGCATAACAGGGAAGTGATGTGATTGTCTCATTTTACAAAATGGCAGATTGTTTCCTCTTCCCATCTTCCTTTTTCAGACAAAACCCTTTTTCTTGGAACCCGTGTTGATGGGGGTGTGAGTATGGATATGTGTAGGAGGGCTGCTTTTTCAGGTGGCCTTTGAGTTATCCTCTCATGGCATGCAGCCAGAGTACAGGATCTAGCATAAAAGATCTGACCTCATTTCAGTTTAATCCTTAATAGAACAATATCAAGGAATTGGAACAAGTTTAATCAGAATCCTCAGTCAATTAAAATATATTAATCCACTTCCTCTTGCCACACTTTACTACCCAAGTAACGCTCTCTCTCAACCCTTCCCCACTCTTCTTACATGTATCTCACTGTATTCTCTGAAGAAACACTAAATGATCAAGTAAATGGATGCAAAATAATACCCCCCTCTCCTGGGTTACCCAGTAGTCTATAGTACTCTCTTTAGGTTGTGATTTGCAGGTCATAAAATGTGTCTGTAGACAGGCTTGGCCCAGCCATAATTAAAGATTAAAAAAAAGACTGCTCTAATGCTAAATTGTAAAGTATCCCAAGTTTTATTCAGTTATTTATTTTGTACTTACTTCCTCATCAGTTGTATTCATTCCACCCTGCTTCCCTACCTCAAACCAAATAAACAAATCCACAAACCTAATCCTGGTAGAAAACCTTGTGGTTGGTCAACATACTGGTGTAGCTATATTGAACTTAGGATTATGCCCAGACTAGGGAAGAGTCAGTTAACATTGCCTAAAGGAGAGAAGAGAGCTAAACAGACCAAACAAACATTTTTTTCCTGTCATATAATATATACTAATTAGAATAAAATGAAAAATACCAAAGTGTTAAGAAAACAAGTCATTCATAATCTTACCCCCTATAAATAGTGTTATGTTAAAACATTAATACACTTTATTGCCCTAGCTGGTTTGGCTCAGTGGATAGAGCATTGGCCTATGGACTGTAGGGTCCCAGGTTCAATTCTGACCAAGGGCACATGCCTGGGTTGTGGTCTTGATCCCCAGGAATGATATAGGCAGTGAGTAAACTGGTTTATAGCTAACTAGTGGCCTGGTGCACGGATTCGTGCACATTGAAAGGAAATTAATTAGAAGACATATTTTAATATCATTATTCGCCCTTTCTCTATAATAGAAGTGTCAACCAAATTCATGATCAACAATGACAGATCAAAACATGTGCATGCGATTGGCGCCAGCAAAAGCTTTATACGTATCGCCCATGCGCAAGTCAACGTTTATTTTTAAATTGTCAGTGTGCGTCATATGTACTGACTGGTCGGTTGGTTGGACGGTAGGATGGACAGTTGGATGGTCACTTAGCCTTTTAGATATATAGAGGATTCCTATATATCTAAAAGGCTGGCACAACATGAATTAATTGCTTTCAAAATCACTTCACCATGGTTTGATATTAAAAGGCAAAGTTTACTGTGTGCATGTGAGTGCATACCAGTGCCTGACTGTCCACAGCCTGTGTAGACCCAGGTTTCCAGAATGCTGGGTGGTGTTCCCATGATGGCTGCTCTTTGTGGTGGTTAACTTAGGTAGATAAGAACCTATTAACTCCAGAATGCTTATGCAGAAAGAAGGTCCAGCAGCCATCAAAACTATAAGTGGGACTCAGGCAGCAAGGACTCTCTTCAGAAGGGCTCCTTGGTCAGAGCAACAGAAATAGCCTGTAGAGGAAGCCGATGAAATCTTGTTGTCCTTAGCCTTTAAGGTAGACTATTCAAATGAAAGCCATTAAAATTCAACCAACCAGTCCAGCCAGTCTTGCTCAGTGGTTAAGCATTGACCTATGAACCAGGAGGTCTGGGTTCCATCCTGATCAGGGCACATGCCCAGGTTTCAGACTCGATCCCTAGTAAGGGGCATGCAGGAGGCAGTCTATCAATGATTCTCTCTCATCATTGATGTTTCTGTCTTTCTCTCTCTCCCTCTCCCCTCCTTTCTGAAATTAATAAAAATATATTTAAAAAACAAACAAACAAAAAAACACACGTTAATACATTTTATTAATTCTAAGGCACATTTTTTTCTTATTTTCATATCTGTGAAATTGAGATGCTCTTACACCGTGCATCCTGGCAGAAGTCATGATGTAGCTGTCATTACCTAAGCATGTGTAACCTTGGTCACATGGCTTATATTGTTGTCACTTCAGAATAGTTATGAACTTTGCTGGCACAACATGAATTAATTGCTTTCAAAATCACTTCACCATGGTTTGGTATTAAAAGGCAAAGTTACTGTGTATATACAAAGACATGGAACCAGTAGCATGATACATGATGAAATCTGTATAAGTTAAAACAAAATGCTAACATAAAAAAATGGGCGGTTTTTCTTCTAGTGGCATATAAAATGCATATTTTATATGGTTTTCTATTGCTCTGACCAACTGATGGCATCTTATATTAATTATGTATATTTTATATGTACATAACTGTATGTACATATATATGTTGTAACCTGATTTTTTTCACTTAACATTTTATGTCAATATTATTACAGATTGACCTAAGCCAATCTGACCATTTGGCCTCATCAGTAAGGAGGTCAGTGAGGGTTATATTATAATGAAAACAAGTCTTAAGCCAAATTCTATTGAATAAGTAATATGTAAACAGAGCAGACACAAAGGCTGTGCAGCAACTGGTTCCTGTATCTTGATGCAAGCCTCCTGTCTGCCCACGGCTTTCAGAGGTTGGATAAATATGCATGTCTAGTTTCTCCCAGCTTACTACAATCTGGTTTATAGATCCTTACTATTTAAAAATTCATAGTATATTTTATTTTAAAAAAGCAAAAAGAAGAAATTAAAACTATGTTTAACCCTATCATCGATGATAAGCATTATTGACTTTTTTTTTTCTTCTTCCAGAATTTTATCTATATTTGTGTGGGATTTTATTCAAGGTTCTTTTGCATTTGTTTAGATGATGTGTTTTCTTATTTGACTAATTGTGGTATATTACATTGGATCTCTTAATTTTGATGCTTTCAAGTACTTCTACCAATCCTATTTCGTTGTTTTAACAGGTTCTTTTGGGAAAACAAATTAAGATAACACTGTTAAGAACATAATTTAGGTAGAACCAAAAAACCCCCCAGAAATTGTAAAGAGTTATAACATTGAGATGATATCTTAAAATTATAAAACTACTAAGCATAATAATTGTATGCTAATGAATTGGAAAAGCCTCAGTAAGATAGACTTTAAAAATATAAACTACAAGATTTATCTCACAGAGAATGAGATCACATAAATAGAACAGTGGTCATGAAGCAAGAAAATGTTGTTAGAAATTATTCCCCAACTTCTTTTTGCCCTTTAAAAAGAGCACCTCATTCAGGTGGGTCCTATCAGTGATAATTTGTTTAATTTTTTGGCTTTTTATGGCAAACGTTTTTTCCCCTCACATTTTTTGGAAAATATTTTTGTTTGCTTGTCTTCAGAAAGGAGACTCTATCTTAGTATTGGGGATGCAAGGATATTCCTGAACTCAGCCCCAGACTCACTCTGACTTTGAAAATGAACTATGAGCCCTAACCGGGTTGGCTCAGTGGATAGAGCGTCGGCCTGCAGACTGAAAGGTCCCAGGTTCGATTCCGGTCAAGGGCATGTATCTTGGTTGCGGGCACATCCCCTGTAGGAGGTGTGCAGGAGGCAGCTGATCGATGTTTCTCTCTCATTGATATTTCTGACTCTCTATGCCTCTCTCTTCTTCTCTGTAAAAAATCAATAAAATATATTTGAAAAAAAAAGAAAGAAAATGAACTATGATGATCCACTTGCTATTGCTGGAAAAGAGAAACACTGCACTCTGATAAGTTAGAGAAGCAGGGATTGACAAGACTGGTAGCTAGGAGTTTTATAGTATTGATCTGCAAACCTTAGGGATGTGAACACTGCAAATCCAATTTTCAGCCTCTGAGCAGCTTCCTGCATCTGTATTTAAAAGGGCAAAAAGGAGTAGTTCTGGAGGGCCAACCTATTTTTTCGCAATAGAAAAGATACAGTTTTTGCCTGACTGGCATAGCTCAGTGGTTGAGTGTCTACCTATGAACCAAGAGTTCACTGTTCAATTCCCAGTCAGGGCACAGCCCCGGGTTGTGGGCTCGATCCCCAGTAGGGATGTGCAGGAGGCAGCCCATCAATTATTCTTCTCATCATTTATGTTTCTATCTCTCTTTCCCTTTCCCTTTCTCTCTCTGAAATCAATAAAAACATATTTAAAAACAGGTACAGTCCGGGTTGAGATCTAGGCTTAATCTTTAGATTGAATGGTTGCTTAAGCTAGGGAAGAGTTGTAGTGATGAAGCTGATGAGGAGAGTGAAAGTTTGGGGACTTTAGTATAATTGACCTACGATGTTTATAGCATAAAACTCGTGGACATCACTTGCGAGTTTGAAAG